CAAATAAAAAAAGCATGAAGAAAAACTGTTAGCGTTTGGTGTGGAATTTTCAGAAGCAAAATTGTTGGGACTATATTTTACGATTATACTTTAACTGGAGTTACCTATCTGGAAATAATTATCCCAGATGCAGAAAATACTCTTTTGCACAATTTTCCGGAAGCCGAACTTGATGATATGATTTGGAAGCAGGATGGGGCAATTCCGACTGGTGTCCTACCCATTCGAGATCATTTGAATAATGTATTCCCAATATGGATAGGGAATAATGGACCTATTAAATGGCCACCTAACAGTCCGGATTTGTCCCCTATAAATTAATTTTTTTGGAGATTTCTAGAAGACATTGTTAATAATAATAATAATAATATATGATAATAGTATTCAAGTCATCAAAGACAGGATTCCACTTGAAATAAACAATCTGAATGTAAATAATGAAGCTATTTCCGGTGCAATTATAAATATAAGAAGACGTTATCAATTATGCATTGACAATAATGGTGGACACATCGAACATCTTTTATTAGTTATCATTTATTTATATTTATATTTCCCAAATAAATCTTTGTTATCCATTTTGTATAAATATTTGATTTTTTCTTCCTCACTGTAAACCATTTTGATTATTTCATTAAAGAAATGCCACTTATCAAACATGATAGTTGTCATTGTCATAGCTCACTTTAATAATATTAACTTTCCATATTTACAGTAACTAGTTTAACTAAGATATTCGACGTTTAATAACTCAAAAACGGTATATGGTAGGGGTAACATATGGTATATTTTTGAAATCAGGAATAAAGGATCATTCCAAAAATTTAATAATATATGGCGTATCCTATTTAGAAAAATATATTATTTTTTGTATCCCCTGAAATCTGCACGCTACTGTACTTTTGATAGCATTTCAACAAAATTCAGTCATAACCACACAACTTTTATTTAAAACTTTTTTTCTGTAGGCAATAATAACGATGATAAGGGGTAGGTAATTTATAATGAATGACCCTGTACATATCTGTTATAGTTTCTGATTTAAAGCACAAATAATATATTTTTTTTCATCTAGTCCCACTACTTACCGCAACAGTTTGGCTACATAATTTTGGAATATCCTGTAGTATACATACATTAATGATATTGGTTATATCGACTTTATTTGCCATCTAATAATTGTGGACCATTTTATGTCACTGTTTTTCTGGCACATCCCGTATAGATGGCTATATACCAAACTTTAAATTGGATTTAAAGAAAAAATAATCTTCCCTTTTCAGAAAAATTATGAAATTGACGCTAGAGACATTCATATAATCGGTCACTCTCTTGGAGCTCACACCGCAGGATATGCTGGAGCCCTTGTGCCAGGATTGGGAAGGATTACTGGACTGGATCCCGCGGAACCATATTTTCAGGTAATTTTTATATGTTTCTAAATCCCTACTCCTGCAGTGGTGCATTAGAGGAAGGTATTTTTGCATATATTTTATGTTTTAGCATTTAAAATTAATTGGTTTTAATAAACATATACACAGATTGCCGCATAGGAATATAATAGTTACGGAGTCACTGAAATATCCATTTTCCAAATTCATGCCTTTGTTGCATTGATCTGTGTATATGTCATATAGTTCGCTATTTCATAAGGATTAGGTTTTCTGATGACATGCCAGATCGAATGATTTAAATTTTCATCAAAATGACGTGTATGTCCATTAGAAATGGAAAACTGATTTCATTGATGAACGATTTAAAAACATTTTTATCTAATCACTGCAAATACACTTTTATATTGATTTGATTGACAAATATTATAAATGTATGGTCTGTCTACTTGGACAATAAACTACATGGTTTAAATTTGTATTTTAATGCTGTTAAAATTATATCTCACAACGTCCACCTAAGTTTAATAAAGAGCAAACAAACAAAAGCAGATATATCCATTCAATACAATTTCTGAATTCTGGATATTCGCGAAAAAGTTTTCTATCCGTTACCCGGAAAACAAAAAAAATGAAAAGGCACTTCAGTAACATATTTCTTATACAAATATTCTTAAAGAAGTTTTTTGAGAGTTAAAACTTGTTTTGCGACTTCTCCTGTGAGGATTATTAACTTCCGTTAGATTTATAAATGTCAACCACAAAATAACTCTTAGATATGACCTCCAGAAGTAGATAACTGTTGATTTCTACAATAATGGTGTTATATCACTACACTTTAGCACTTTTTAAGAATTTAATATTACCTCTTATAGACTTCACAATTAATACTTTTTTTATACATTTTTTATAGTGGTATACAGTATATTCAATATGTATTTCTTATTATGGTTTTTAATTCTCACTTTGCAACGTGATATTATATTTATACAAAGTTAGGGGGTCAGGCTTTCACACTTTACTTCTATTAACATTGTGATATTTTCAATAGATTTTAAGAACATGTGGTAGCAAAATTTGTTAACGCAGACTAGTTTATGGTAAAATATGTCCATATTTTACCATGTAGGCAGAAAACAAAAGTGCGTCCCAAAATGAGTAGTACGTTAGCCCTCGGGCCGGTCTTAAAAAAACAGCGGAGTTGTGTAAAGCAACCTCAGCCATTCTGGAGAATTCTAAAATAAATACGGATAAAAACTATTTATGCAACGCATATACATTTTTTTTAAGACGTTATTTTCCGATGTAAGATGGTCAAAAAATGGCTAAATATGGAGTTTACAAAAGATATTACTTTGAGGTTTATGAAATTAATATAACCTAATATCTTGTTCAAAGAGTAACAAAAACAATTTACAAATATTTTTTTGCACCACTAATTAATTGTACGGTTTTTGTGATACTGATAAATATCCCATCAACTATTTGATTTTTTTAGAAACAATAAAACCTCTTATTGCAACTTCTGCCAGCGTTCGATAAAACTTTTCATAAGTACCATCATTTATGCAAGTTATATTTGTTTTATAAACCTCTACGTAACGTCCTTTGTAAATTATATTTTTCTGATATTGCAAAATAACGTCTTGAAGATAATTTATATACGTTTAAATAAACATTTTTTATGCCCATCTATTTTAGAATTCTCCGGAACATTTGTAATCTCGCATGATTACTGGGATAGCTTTGTATATTTAAACCCAAATCTGGAGTTTTGTTTTTCTAACATTAATTATTAATTTTTTTTTTTAATATTAGTTTTGTTTGAACGTAACTGGATTGATCTGGCTTTGAAAAACTTAAACTTAAAAATTTTAATGTATTTTTAATTATTTAATGTTTACTCATATGTGTACCGAGTATCTTTCTTCAAGGTAGTTACGCTTCTTCAGATCTAAAATAGTTAATTTTTTATTGCTTCTACCAAAACATTTCTGTTATACAAAAATTAATTATTTATTTACATTTTTCAGAACATGCCAGCTCATGTCCGATTGGATCCCAGTGATGCCGAATTGGTGGACGTAATTCATACTGACGGCAAAGGTATCTTCTTTCTTGGTAGGTCGGATAGGAGTAGATCAAGTGTTATACTAGAATGGTATATTAAAACACATTTTTAAAAATGTTGGAAGAGTTTTTTTTATAAATAATTATTGAATATTTTAGGGTATGGTATGTCACAACCCTGCGGACATTTAGATTTCTATCCTAATGATGGAAAAGAGCAGCCTGGGTGCGATATAACACAAACACCTTTGGTTCCACTTACTTTGATAAGGTAAATACTATCAAATTTTGTTTAATCATATAAACCATTTATCAGACTACCATAATATAGATTTTGTCATTATACTCTATCTTAGTTTTAACTTCTTAACTAAAGAATTGTCGACAAAATTTCACGTTCTGGGACCTTTAGTGTACGTATGTGATTAACATTTTGTAGGCGCTATCCAAATAACATAAAATATTGCAGTTTTGTTAAAAATTCATCTATTTTTAACTTAGATCTGATTAGTTTTTCATTTATATTGATCCAACGAGTGCGGTTATCATAAGAAATATAAATTACAGCCCATTTTCACCAGGGTTAAAAATTATAAATAAGTTGTAGACGATAACAGAAAAAAATTCTTACATTTTCTTTTTTAAATGTTTAGTGTTCGAGAAAAACATGCACGGCCAGAGGGGCAGTTCCAGCATAACATTTACTCTGTGGAACAACATACTGGGTAAACGGTATAGCAGTGGTTACACCTGCCATAATTACAGTCGCTGATTGAAGCCCTACATTAGTCAATTTTTTTTAATTAGACAGTAATTTTCAACTATACTTGCTTCCTTAGATGTCTAGGGGTTGTCCATAAAACGCGTGACACTATTTTCGGCTATTTTGAATCCCTCATCCCCCGTCTGTGATAGGCCATGGCATTTCGTGACCCCTCCCTCTGGACGTCACGTAACAGGCCAGATATCGTTTTGGGCCCCCCTCCCAAAACGTAGGAACTGCAATGCTATTCAGTTTTTTTATTAATTTACTTATTGTTATTTTCATTACTTAGTTTAGGTCATTTTCCCCCAAAATTTATATTTATTTACGAAAAAAATTAAAAAGGAGACTAACTGATTTTCGGGTGTCTCCTGTCACTCCTCCCAATGTGATATTTTGTGACGCTTTAATGGACTCTCTTCCCCACTCCTAATAACGTCACGGTTTTTATGGATGGCCCCCTAGCACAAAACACGCCAGCTCCAACTTATTTGCCTCTTTTATAAAAACCAATATGCCTTTACGCATGTCCGTAATTTTCTAATTTTGTAAAAATTAGCGTGTCCTTACGTACGCCAATTATTTAATGAAACCAACAAACGCTGAATGGGAAGTTCAAGAACTGACCATTTAGTCGATTTTTTTTTGTGTAAAAATTTGTATTGTAAAGGGATCCTCTTTCAATCTAGGTTTATATAATAATGTAATATCCTATATTACCCTAACGGTGAAATCATTTAGCTGTTCTTTTCCTGATATACCAAACCATGGGTATGGGTATGGTGGCCGAGTGGGTAAAGCGCTTATAGGCTATTGACTCGGTACTAAATATCGATGGTTCGAATCCATCCCGGAGCAAGTAATTTTATTTGTAATTTGTTTCGGATTAAAATTGAAGAGAACTGTCGATGCCCTAGATGTGGTTCGGATTCCACAATAAACTGTAGGGCCTCGTCTCTCTTTACTCAACACAAAATCCTAGGATTTTCTGAGAGTTACCTCGGTAACTTGAGAGGCGGTTAAGAAAACATTTAAGAAAACATTTAAAGAGAAACAAAACATTCAGAAATTTGGGCCTCATTATAATCATCTTTATTTTTAGGGATGGTTTAGAAGAAGCTTCTAGAGTTCTTGTCGCCTGCAATCATGTCAGGGCAATAAAATTATTTATCGATAGTATAAATACTCAATGTCCTTATATAGGTAGGTATAATATCTCTTTAAAATATATCTTGATTTACAGTAAAAAAAATGGTAAAATTACTAAACATTAATCGTAAATATCTGCAGTGTTGTATTTAACACAATATAAGTGTACATTAACTAAATTATTTGAAAAAAATATTAGACACGTCAACTTAGTGTCAATTTATAAATTGTTGTGTTAAAAATGTACACTAATATAGGTGAAAAAACAGGTAGGGTGTCTTGGGTTGACCCTAAATCAACATTAGATGTTAATTTTTGTTCCCCATTGTAGAATAAATTTCTTATAATTCGATTATATGTTAATATGTAAAATTTACTGTGTAAAATTACCTTTCCTAATATAGTAATATTACAAAAACAGCAGTGTGGACTATATTCACACTGGCGAGTGTTAAAATGATTAATATTTTTTATTGTATAATCATAGATAGTAAATGTTTGATAATTGACGGCAAACATTCACACCATTTTTGTCTAATTAATTTTATGCTTAAAATAATCAAATTTGTTACTGAAGATATACTATTTATATTATCATACTTCTTGCAGTCAAGTAGCTTTTTGGTCGATGTGTTAAACAGTGATCGACTAGATGACCAAAAAATGCTGCTCCTAAATAGGTCGTAAATATTGAGGGCCCTTTTTGGTAAATCATCTCTGAAAAAATTTAATCAGTCTACCACTGCATTTAAAAACTCTTTTATTATTATTATACACATTTGATTTCAAATTCCTGCTTACCTGTAAAAGTAAAGCGTAAAATGGGAATATTTCCGGGAAAAAATAAATTCAGCAAAGAAAACTTTCCCAGGAATATTCTATTTCAATTTTAATATATACAGGGTGGTTCGAAGTTTACCTGACAAACTTCGACACGTGATAGAGGGACTTAAAATAAGCCGAAAAGTTCCTATCAACTTACATCCTTAGGGGATTGCTAACAAAGATACAGGATGTTAAAGTTTTGTGAAAAACAAACAATTTTTTTAATAACTCTAAAATTACGAAAGCTATCGACTTGAAGTTTTAGGGGCGGTGATGATTTTTAAGTCTCTATTGTTCCATAAAATCTTATCTTTGTACTGCCTCCAGTGGTGCCGCCAGAGGGTGAGGGAGATGAATTTTTCGCCGAAACTACGTTACGTCACTGTTTTGTGCAGTTGATTTTGAGATTGTTCGATTCAGTGTTCAATTTGGAAGAAAGAAGGTATCTTTTAGTTTTTTCGTACAACGCTTACTTTTCGAGTAAAACGGCTATTTCTGCTTTCTCTACTAAAACAGTAAAACCTTTTCCTACATTAATGATAAAATTAATAATCCTAGTTGCCTTTGGTAAACAATGAAACAGTGTTGTCAGTCAATGTTTGACCTGTCAAAACTAGTGTTAGTGTTGTGTACCAAGCTACAAGATGCCAAGATTGTTCAGCAATGAAGAGTATGCTGATATTAATTTTATTTATGGGTTTTGTGATGGCAATGCTCAACAGGCAGTTCGAGAATACCGAAGGAGGTATCCAAATAGGAGACGACCAAATGTTCAAGTTTTTACAGACACCCATCGCAATTTTTGCGAAAGGGGATTGCGAGATAACCGACAAAATAGAAATGAAGATCGAAGAAATATTGGAAGAAATGGAAACGGAAGAATTCTTAGAGCTTTTGGCGAAAATCCAAGTTTAAGTTCTCGCAGGGCAGCATAACAATTAGGAACATCCAAGTCTAAAGTGCTACGAGTATTACATCGAGACCACAGAAAAGCTTATCATTTATATCCCGTACAAAATTTACATCCCGGTGATACAGAGAAGTGTTTAAATTTTTGTCGTTGGCTAATTAACTCTGTAAGGGGGAATCCCAAATTCTTAAGAAAAATATTATGGACCGATGAGGCGACGTTTACCAGAGCTGGAGTAGTGAATCACCATAATATGCATGTTTGGGCACACGCAAATCCTCACCAAACCCGCCTTCGATCATTTCAAAATAAATTTAGTGTAAATGTTTGGTTGGGTGTTATTGGTTGTTGCCAAACCCGCCTTCGATCATTTCAAAATAAATTTAGTGTAAATGTTTGGTTGGGTGTTATTGGCAACAACATTTGTGGCCCACATTTCTTGCCGCCTAGGCTAAATGCAGAATTGTTTCGGGATTTCCTCACTCATGACCTTCTCAAAATAATGGGAGATGTTCCCCTTGATGTACGAAATGAAAGTTGGATACAGTTGGATGGAGCACCGGCGCATTTTCGACGGATGGTGCGCGAATGGTTGGACGCTAATTATCCTGAGAGATGAATAGGTCGTGTGGGAAACAATTATATCGCCCAGGAGAATATTGTAAGAGGTCCGGTGGCCTGGCCACCAAGATCACCTGACCTCACGCCTTTAGACTTTTATATGTGGGGTTATTTAAAAGAAAAAGTTTATGCTACACCGGTGACAACGCGAGATCAGCTACTTCAGCGTATCCAACAAGCTTGCAACGAGATGAGGGAAAATCATCATCAAGTATTCGCCGCTGTCAATTCTACAATTCAGAGGTGTCACAAATGTATTGAAGTGAATGGGCTCCAATTTGAGCAACTTCTTTAATTTCCTGTGTTTCACTGTTTGGTAATGAGTTTTATTTATGTTCTTAGTTTTTACATAAATTCTGTAATTTATGAAATAAATGATAAACTTTCAATAGTTTAGTCATGAAAATTCCTTTTACTATTTTACTCGAAAAGTAAGTGTTGTACGAAAAAAACTAAAAGATACCTTCTTTCTTCCAAATTGAACACTGAATCGAACAATCTCAAAATCAACTGCACAAAACAGTGGCGTAACATAGTTTCGGCGAAAAAATTCATCTCCCCCACCCTCTGGCGGCGCCACTGGAGGCAGTACAAAGATAAGATTTTATGGAACAATAGAGACTTAAAAATCATCACCGCCCCTAAAACTTCAAGTCGATAGCTTTCGTAATTTTAGAGTTATTAAACAAATTGTTTGTTTTTCACAAAACTTTAACATCCTGTATCTTTGTTAGCAATCCCCTAAGGATATAAGTTGATAGGAACTTTTCGGCTTATTTTAAGTCCCTCTATCATGTGTCAAAGTTTGTCAGGTAAACTATTACCACCCTGTATAAACTGTTTTGAAAATATTTCCATAATTACAGAACACCTAAATAAACTAATACCTATTTTATCAGCAGTTAGTAACAATTATTAATGAAAATAAATGAGATAATTTTGTTGATTCAAATATAAATAGCTATTTCAATTTTCTTTTAGCTCATCAGTGCTCCAATTTCAATGAATTTAAAGAGGGAAATTGTTTTACTTGTAAACCAGGTACAAACTGTGCTATTATGGGATACTATGCAGATACTACACCTGGTTTGCTAGAAAACGAAGTCCAACCACAAGCAAAGTTACAAGAAACTGTTGGCATGAAGTATTACTTAACTACTGGACGAGAGTATCCATATTGCCGTAAGTTTTTGGCTTTCTAGACATTCTCTCAGAATTTAACGTAATCTTTCGCAGAATTTGTAAGTAGGCTCAGAATTGTAAGTAGACCGTTCTACCAACCTAGCAGTTTTCAACGATTTTTTGTACACCTCAATCGAAACTGGATGTCAAGTTGATGTTATTTATACTGATATCAAAAGCATTCAACAGTATCAGACATGCACTGTCAATTAAAGAACTCGTCGCCATTGGTATCTCAAGAAACTACAAATTTGGAGTGTCTCTTTCAAAAAGTAATGTTATGCTGCGCTGCATCACGCAATGTGCGTGGTTTTTCTTGTGCGCCCCAAGGATCGCATGTTGGTCCAGTACAGTTTTCACTACGTACGAACGATGTCGATAATGTTTTTAATTTTCATAAATACCTTTTATATGCAGACGACTTAAAATACTATGCAATTGTACAATATGATGCCCTAAGCTGATTTTATAAGTTTAGTCAATTGGTGTCATAAGAAACTTTTGAGTGAATATTAAATGTAAAACAATGAGTTTTTATAGTTGTCTCAACCCTTATAGCCACAATCACAATATTTGTACTACGTCATTTTAATGTATATCATATTTTAATGATTTGGACGTAATTCTTGACATAGAACTTATTTTCAATGCACATTGGATAATGTTAATAACAAAAAATTTAAAAAAAAAATCCACGTTACTGATATACAAGTTATGCAGCATTACATACTCTATATGAAGGACTAGTTTTCATTCTTTAATATAACAGTATTACTTGGCCACCTACGTATCGATATCAAATATTACACCCAGTGAAATTTAAATTAAACGGGTAATTTTTTGTGATACATGCTCACAATAAATAAATAATTAAAAATTATAAATACTATTATGGTCTATTGGTGCTTATCATCTTCAAATATATAAGTAATATAATCCCCACATTATGGTGGTTTTTATACCATTTAGAAATTGTCCAGAATAGAACAAATTTTTCAATCCTGTTTAAACTTCATTATGGTCTGGATCTTCGCATAAAATTAGACAACGTAAACAGGATTGAGGCCATTAGATTATACATAGGTTGCATTCTTGCTCTTAAGGCCGCGTTTTTACCAGGTATCCAATTTAAAACTATATATCGCTGAGTGTTAAAATTGTTCTGTTAGTA